ATCCTTAGAGGTTCCAATTCATTGAACCCAAATGATGAATATTTGTCTATTACCACCTCTCCTTTCAGGATGCTGACTTAATGCATTTTTCCATCTGTCTACTGTGTCTTTCAAGTAGAAATATTTGTATCTTGGGAATTGATAAGCATTAATGTCTTAAGAAGAAATTAATGGAGTAGTCTGCAAGACAGTTAAACTTTAGCTCATTTGTTTTCTAAGTGTGGTTCCTGGGTGAGCAATATCAATATCAACAGAGAACTTGCTAGAAATACCTAAGGCCTCATCTTAGATCTACTAAATTAGAAACTGGGGGTGGGTGGGCAGATTGTGCAATAATAACATGTTCTAACCCCTGCTTTCTTTTCTTTTTAAATATTTATTTATTTATTCATACAGAACTAGGGTATTGGCTAGAGGTGCAGGGGCAGGGTGTGTGTGAAAGGATTCACCAGAGACAGAGTGGGGAGCCGTACAGGCAGACTGAAAAAGTACACTGCTAAGGGGATCAGCAGGCGAGGCAGGAGAGGTCTGCCACGCCATGTGGTCACCTCTGGGGACAGGGATCCAACTCGCAGTGAAGCGGCTGCAGCAAGCTTGCAGTGCTGCACTTTAACCCACTGAGCCACCAGGGAGGGCCTCTAACACCTGCTTTCTATGTGATTCGATGCACATTCAAAATTAAGAACTACTGCTTTAGACAAATGGTTCACCACCAAAAACACTTTCAGAACTGGGCTAGGACAGACACTTGGGGAAGGATAAAAACATTTCTTTAAATGACTTAAGTCAACAGCTTAGTTAGGCCAAAAATGTCTACATAGGGATTATGACAGATGAGTAAAGGAGAATCCTTATCCTTCAAGAACTTACTGTCTCATAGAAAGAATAATGTAAGAATGCAAATTAGTGATTGCTGTCAAAAAGCGTATGTGAAGGCCTTAAGAAAAGTGGGTGTAAAATAATGGGAGTCACATCTTGGGATGTGAATCTAGCCTTTGTAGGTCGGTGTACAGCAAGATTCTATGCTCCTTTACCTTAAAATGATCAGTGGGCAGAGTATCCTTGTTAGAGGTGGAAATAAAGTAAAAATTAACAAGCTCTGTTTCGTGAATCATAGGAGGGAAAAGCTGTGATGCATATGATTCAACCAGCAAGGGTTTCCATGCAGCTAGGATTTGGAACTCAGACCTACTTTCACAGAGACTGGACCTGAATTGTAAGGGGACAGGCAATTCATAAGCAGAAGAGATGTGGGGCAGAGAGAGATGTGGGGGAGAAAAGAGAGAAGCAGCATTATCATCACCATCACAGGGACGAAAAAAATATGGGAATTCCTTTGATTTCTTTGCTTTACCTGGGGATCATTGGTCTGTCTTTTGAGTAAAGTCCTAGCTTTTACACCTGCTTCAGAAGACTGTGTTTTCCACTCCAAAGTAGGTTTCATTAGAAGAGTTCTGCCATGTGTATCTAGGCCTTTTTCTAGGCACTTGGTTGCTTCAATGTACAGAACCTAATTCATTCTGATCCAGTAATCATCCCATTGCACCATGACCATTTAAGGCTAGTTTTTTTTTTAGATTTATTTATTTATGAATACAAAACTGGGATACAGGCCAGAGGTGCAGGGGCAGTGAGAGGATTCACCAGAGACAGAGTGGGGAGCAGAACAGGCAGATCGTAGAAGTACACTGCTGAGGGGAGCAGCGGGTGGGTCAGGAGAGGTCTGCTGCACCATGTGGATCACCTCTGGGGCAGGTGGGGATTGAACTCATGCAGAAGTGGTTTTTAGCTTCCTAGTGCTGTGCTTTAACTTGCTGCGCCACCAGGGAGGGCCTAGGGCTAGTTTTTTTAATGACCCTAGAGACAGCATTGGAGCAATAATTGGAATCTAGAGTCTCCTTCCTTTAGCACCAGCTCAGAGAGTGTTCTGTGCACAGTAAATTTACCAGGTTACAGCTCAACTGCTCTGTTTCTGTAGTCTGTTTTTATAACCAAAAATTTCCACAAGTTAATGGTGTCTTCTCATCTGCATCCTTCTTAAGTGCAGCAGAATTATTTGGGCAGTTGTTTTACACATTTATCCCAACAGTGTACACAGAGCAGTGTACACAGTTATCAAGAACATTAAAGGGCAAAATGTCATAAAGAACATACTGGAAGTTGATTAAAAGAGAAAAGACAGCTAAATAATTTCATGCCTGCTTGATCTTGGCAAAATATAAAAAAAAAAAACCTCATTTGTAATATGAATTAAAATCCTCATGAAATGGCATAGTCTTGTGAGTTTTATAAGTGCCCTACAATTTAACTAGTGGTGCAGACACACATCTATAGGCATATCTTGCCCCTGGTATCTTAAATATATTGATATATATTTGATCATTGGCTTTGCATACTCCTATCTGTATGATATTGAGCAAATAGTTATTTCTTGTGGTTCAGTTTCAACATCCATAGCTTGATCTTTGAAGGCTTTTTTTGATTAGCTCAGGGCACAAAGCAAAAGAACTGTATAACCACAAAGGTATAGAGTGAACTGATTCTTGTTTTAATTACCTATCATTGATTTACATCCTTGTAAATTTTTTGACAATATAGGATCTCCCCCTTAGGGGGGAAATCTGTAGCTTGCACACCACCAGAGTCCTTCACCATAATCCCTTATGCTTTTCCTTCAACCTGTTCTCACCACTTTCCCCTTCCTGGATGCCTCAGAGCTGTGGTAAGCTTTCAAGTATTGATTTTAAAGATTTTTTGGCTCCTCTATATTCCACATATAAATGAAATCATACAAACCTGATGTTTTTATGGAAACACTGAACAGTTTTTTTTTTTCCAAACAGCAGTTAGCTCCACTCTTTCTGTGCTCAATTCTATATTGAAATAGCTATCACAAACATATGCAGAATTCCATGTTCTATGATTGGTGGGGGGAAAGTTGGGAATTAGGAAGTGGGGAAAGTTTTCATTACTTGATAAAACAGTCATTACTTGATTCATATTGATTCATAGTTGACATTACTGAGGCAAATGATACTAAGAGGGGATGAGGAAGGTATTTATAGTTAGTATTTATTAATATCACACATGCTCCAGCTAAGCAATAACTTTTCTGACCAAGGTCCTTCACAGCCTCTGGAACCTGGAGGGTAGATTGGAGTTTCCTTAGTCTTGAAAGTTCCTGAAACTTCCCTTCATAACTTGTTTTCTGAAAACCCCCATGTTGTATAAGATAAGCATTGGCTTTGCACACTCCTATCTGTATGATGTTAAGCACTATTTATACGAACAAGTCAAGGATTGGGGTGAGAATTTGGTCAAATTATTGTCTTCTATGAAAAATAAGTTAACAGGTTAAGAAGCTAAGTCAAAATAAAAGAGCAGGATGGATTAGTGCAGTGTGGAAACATTTTTTTTAAAAACATGCATACTCCTCCCTAATTTATAACAGACCAATTCAGAGGTTCCCCGCCCCTCACTGGTAACTTGCCAGTACAGTGAGAAAGTGGACTAAGAATAAAAAAAAATCAAGATGAACGTGCTTAGAGTTCAGCACTCTCTGGGGTCAATGTGATCTCCAAGGTTTATAGCTGGTTTCTAATGAAGAACATGGCAGGAATTCAACTGGAAGAACCAAATCAAAAACTAATCTTCCTTTCATATTGATAGTGTTGACCTTTCACTATGCGGCTCCTGGACCAGTCTTTTTAAATGATTCTTGGTTTGTATATTTATAAAATGAGTGTTTAATAGCCTATGCATCTTTGTGTGTAGGATTCACTTATTATTAAAAACTAATGTTCTTCCTTCCTAAATGATTATTTTTATTTTCCTCCCACGGGGAAGAAGAGACAATAAATTTGAACAGTTCTTCACCTGTGGGGAGGAAAAGGATTTGAGATTGTCTTAGATATCAAAGGCCTTCAACCCTACAAAAAAGGGAATGAGAGCCCTCTCTGGTGGCGCAGTGGGTTAAAGCACAGCACGAAGAAGCTAAAGCCGCTTCAACATGAGTTTGATCCCGCCCCAGAGGTGATCCATAAGGCGCTGCAGACCTCTCCCGACCCGACCAGCCGGCTGCTCTCTTCAGCAGTGTACTTCGTCAGTCGGTTCTGTCTCCCTTCAGCAGTGTACTTTGTCAGTCGGCTCTGTCTCGGGTGAATCCTCTCACCACCCCTGCACCTCTGGCTAATGAGAAATTCCTATCACCCAGGTATGTGACCTTGCTTGACTTTTCTGACCTCTTTGTTCCCATGGCATTGTATATCTGTCCCCTGTCTTACTATTAAGACAATGGTCCCTTTGTTTGTTGGTCTTGGACTCTTCCATTTGCATTGAGTGTTAGGGGTGCGTTCCACCTAAGTCTCCATCCTATCTATGGTCACATCTGATCCTTGCTTGCTGATTCCCCCCTCTTGCCCCATCCACAATGGTACATCCCTGCTCTAGCTAAGGGAGGCGCAGGGAATTCGCCAACATCTTCAGCTGTGGGCCATACAGTTAAAGACCCAGGGTGAGTAAGGTGCCAGCACCAAAAGAACTGGGGGTGGAGGAGCCTCTTGCTTCCTGAAACCATGGGTCTGGGAAAGAAGTTGAGGTCTGGGATAGAAGTTAAGAGCTGCTTTCCAGGTTAATAAAACGTAGCCAGAGTCAAGGAAGTTTCCTCTCCCAGCTTAGCTAGTTAGGTGACTTGTGCCCCCTGGCAAGTCATTGCCCATCTCTAGACCTTGATTTTCTCTTCATTTGCCCAACGCTGAACTTCTTTGATCTCAGGAAAGGCAGCCCCATTGCGCCCAAGTTCTTCTTCCCAAAAGGCTGTTTGAGAACATAGCTTCTCTGAAGAGGTGCCCTTGAAGTCCTTGTCCCTAACCTCCGCAAATGGGAGCACAGGTTTAGTGGTCAGGGCAGACAAAGAACCCCCTTTTCCCACACCCCTTGGTCAGAGTCAGATTTTACCACCAGCAGCTTGATTTTACTTCTCAATTCCAGATAACATCAAGATGCCCAAAACTAAGGAAACCATGTTCCAGAATAACCCCAGTGAAGCAGAAAGGGAAGCCCACAAGCCTAGAACATCAGGGAAGAGCCAAGAAAACAATGACATCTGTTTAGATGACCACTGTCATGGTAGGTCCAGAATTTCGTCCACATTTCTTTGGATAATGCTTGATAACAGTGAGGTTAGAGAAACAGTCTGTGGCTTAAGTGCTTTTTAAAGAGCACAGAAAGCTCCTGACTTGCTTGCATTGTTCTTGGCCTCTGTATTTCCATTACTCCTCTTTTGGATCATTTCCCCCATTTTTTAACCTTCTAATCTTTACATATATAACCTAGGTATTTTGACTCTAGAGAAAGAGGCCCACAAAGCATAATTCCTTGTCTTTGACAAACTTGGGAGTATTTGAGTTACTTTAAAGCCTGCATTATTGTATTTTACTTGCATTATTGTATTTTTATTTTGTAGATTGTACATTACAGATCAAAGATTTGAAAGAATCCAGATAATTTAGTGCTAGAATTGTATTTTGTCCTTTTCCAGGGACACGTTGTTGACATAAGGATTATTATTATCACTGATCCAAAATAAAATTCTTTAGGTCTGTAATATTTTTACACATACGCAGGAGCATGAGGTAACCCCCCCCCCCATAGCTTATGGTACACAGTTGAGGTTTTGGTTTGACTAGCCCAACCTCATAGGAATTCAAATTGAAGTGCTCTTATGAATAGTCTCCAGTGAATTTAAAAAAAATTAGTCAGAAGATATGTTAACAAATGTAATGATTTGATCTAAAGTGTTGAAGAGAAAAATGGAGAAAACAGTGGGAAGACTTGATGCTATTAAGTTAAATTATATGTTTTGTTAGTGGACACTTAAGATCACTGCTAGAAAACAATTACAATTCTTAGTCCATAATGTATTTAAGATAATTTAATGAATTGACTAGCATTTAATGATTAGATAGCATATATTATATATACACATAACTTTAGTTAGGGTAATAAGATATGGATTGTTGGTACTAACTTGTTGAAAGACTTTGTTGTGAGATTTAAGATTCTTACATGTGAATGCTATTATATCTTTAGGACAGATAGTTCTCTCTGAACAAGTTAGGAAACTATATTGAAAGTGAGTGATAAAATAGTTTTATTGCATGTTTTAGTATTTATATCAAGTATACCAAGTAATGATTATAATTACTGTATGTGCTTATTGTATACCACTGTTACAAGTAGTCTGTATAATGAACTTAAAGCAGTGATTCTCAAACTCCAGTGCTAGGATAAGTACTACCATCATTCTTACCAATATTAAATTAAACAGAGATGTTGTAATGAGGTTTTTAAAAATAAAATAAAGTTGTATTTATAAAGTAAAAATACATTTATATTCATTTATACTGATATATATATATTCATTTATAAAAAATAAATGAAGTTTTATTTATATAAAATTACTCTTTTGCCGTTTGGGATGTTAAAATATGTTTTTGTGTAGTTATTTGTATGAAGGTTAAGTGGATCTTATGTTTATTCATATACTGTCCATATATTGAAAAATAAAAATTGAGAAATTATTGTCAGTCACTCATTTTTAAAAATTTTTTTGGTGTGTAGAATCTGCAGATTTGGGAACCATGGAACTTCATAGGCATCTAGTAAGATTTGTGGTGCTATCTGAAAAGAGACTCTCATCATGTGCTCCTTCCTGTCTCATCAGATGTAGGAAAGGGTAGTAGAAACAGTACCTTTTAAGTAAACATTTACTTGTAAACCACACACTTCACTGTTTACCTATTCTGTTTTACTCCTTCAAGTGAATGTCTTGAAATCAGTCTTACTTTTTGTTTTTCATAGCTTTTTCTCCTCCTCAAGCCTGACTTCTCTGAGTTTCTATTGCTGTTAAAGGGCAAGAGTTCAAAAAACCTCAAATATTAGAATGAGTGAGCCAGTATAAGACTCTTTTGATGAACCTAACTTGGGGGGGGGGTCCTTACTTACTGAATCTCTGTATAAAACAGAAATTGTACTTGTGTGGGTTCCCTTTTTTTGATTGTGGTCTCTTTCCAGAGAGCCAACCTGAAGTACTTCCCATCACAAGTCTCATAGAGGTGGTTAATGAAGTCTCAAAGCTTAGCATTGCTCATGAAATTGTGGTAAACCAAGATTTTTATATGGAAGAGAGTGTTTTACCACCCAACAGGTACAGATTCTTCTATTTTTCCATTTTATTCTTTGTGGCATAGGTACATTCTTTGTGACATAGCACAAATGACATTGGCTCAGGTTGTGGAAGTATTTTCATTAACTCAAGCAAAGTCTTAAATGGTGCCAACAAACAAATAAATTATATAATTATTAGCTTCAGAGTTAGCACAGGAAAATTATCCTGAAAGAGGGAATAAACCAATGCACCTATTATCAGAACATTCATTTGGGTGTCTTAGCTAACAACAGAAGAGCATGATTTCAGATCTTTTCAGTTTTGGAGGAAGTAGAAACAGTTACTACTTCAGTTGTCTACAGTTAAACAAAAGCAACGAAAATATTTCTTGCTAATAGTGATATTGCCACATTTTCATGGGATAAAAGATTTCAGGAAACATTTCTACATCATAATCAGAATCATAAAGAATCTGTGGACCAAGATCAGAAGAACATTATTGATAAATTATGCTCCTCGAAAATCAGACTTTATTATGTTTTACAATAATTATATTGATTTTACAATACATAAATAAAAGTGATTTAATAAGTACAAACTGAATTCTTCTAATGTTTTCTTAAATTAAATGGGTCAATTTCTTTATTAGAACTTAAATGGTATGGCGCTTCTAGTTTCCCACTTAAATGCTTCTATTCTTTGCCACTTTAGGGATTCTGTTACTAAATCACTCAGTTTTGTTTTTTTTTTTAAGTAAACTGTTAAGTTGCTCAGTGTTTCTCTTGATCTTCCCACTCATTAGTTGGCTCTTGCCTGTCACCAAGAGGTACTCAAGCCAGACACAACTTCCCAAAGAACATTTTCACCAAACATAGGTCTATTAGCATCTTTTTCACTGCCTTCACTGTCCCTGGAACCCTAGTTAAGATATATTTTTCTGTTGGCAGTAGTGCAGAGACAGTGAAATTAAGAGTGAAGGTTTATTTAAAGTGACTGGGATCATGGTGGTGATAGAGTATATAAATAAAGGAGAGGGAATAATACCATTTAGAACTTGATTGTCAATTTTAACATCTTTACTGTAGTATAGTAATGTAAAATGTATACTAGAAAAGAGACTGAAATAGAATATGGAGTTATCTATTATTTATAGATAATTGATGACTGGTTTTACCTTTGGGCTTATAAAATGATACTAATTATGATTATATCTTTCAGATATTTATTCAACAGCCATTGAGTACTTAGGTGGGAGGCAGAATGTTGAATGTTGGAGACATACAGATGAATAAGATGCTGGCTTAGCCATCAAGAAGTTTCTGCAGAGGAGACAGTCAAATAGTAGATAGCTGTTGCATAGTGGGAGAGACAAGAAAGGTCTGCTGCACCATGTGGGTCAGCTCCCTGGTCTGAGGATTGAACTCACCGCAGTGGCTAGCGATAGCTTGATAGTGCTGAGACTAAACTCTACGTCACCAGGGAGGCCCTGCTATTATAATTTTCAAAGGGCAAAGGTCAAACTTTCTGATTTTTATGACCAAAGCACAGGTTGGAAAGGAAAGAAAATGAGTTCAGTATTTGACTTGCCAAGTTGGAGGTTTAAGTAAAACTTTTGAATGTTACCAAGTTGTAAAATTCCTATTTTTTTTAAAAGATTTATTTATTCATACAGAACTGGGGTACAGGCCAGAGATGTGGATGGTGAGAGGAGTCACCAGAGACAGAGTGGGGAGCAGAACAGGCAGATCGACGAAGTACACTGCTGAAGGGAGCAGGGGGCGGGTCAGGAGAGGTCTGCCACGCCATGTGGTCACCTCCGGGGCAGGCGGGAATCGAACTCATGCGGAAGTGACTTAAGCTTCTTAGTGCTGTGCTTTAACCCTCTGCGTCACCAGGGAGGGCCGGAAAATTCCTAAACTTAAAGACTGAAGGAACAAGATGATTTATCACAAATGTGTAAGTCTGTGGATTCAGAAACTTAGGCAGAGCTGAGGTAGAGAACTCTGGGGGGCTTAACTCTTAATTATGTTTTTTTCCGACTGTGGAAGGAGAGCTGTAAAACCATTTAGTAGCCTTCAAAGAGGACTGGGCTAACACCTATGCATCTGAGAACAAAATTAATTTAATCAGATTTACTCAAGTATTAAATATAGTTCCATGTTTGTCAATTTAAAGGTCTTTCATTGTCTTAAACGCTGTTTGGGATTTAGGAGATGGTTATCCTATATCAATTTTCAGGGCAAAGAGCTATTTGTTCATTTAACCTTTTTGTAGTCTGGAAGGCAGGTTCATGGAGACGATGTATAATGCTTTTTGGGACCATCTGAAAGAGCAGCTATCAAGTACTCCTCCTGACTTCACATGTGTTCTTGAACTTCTAAAAGTAGTTAAAGAGGTGAGTAGCCAACTCCCCATTTGTGGATATGTCCTGGGGCATCCCAAACCCTTGGATTGTTGATGGCTACCAATGGCCTAAGTAGCATACTTCCTTTCCCAACATTGTCTACTACTTAAACAGATAAAATGGGGAGCTTCCATAAATATTTTATTCCACAAATAAAATGGAAGCTCCCCATTTTATCTGTATGAGTTGGAAAGCGGATATCTTGCTGTAACAACACAGTATATCATTCAGGTAAACAGATTGTCACTTTTGAGTCAAAATCTATTTCAAGTGACCTTAAAGGGTTTCTTTGCTTATCTCACTCTCACTTTACCCTTTTAAGTCAAACCATCTAAAGATGTCATTACCCCTTATTAGAATGCCTTAGCACCTTGTGATGGTGTGTTGTAAAATATTTTTTAATGTCTTGCACATTTTTAATCACATGTTTAGTTTTATTCTTACCTTTACCTTATTTTTTTCCAGAAAATAATGTTAGTGCTGTTACTACTAATTGTATCGGTGCCACGAATTGCAATTGGCCCTTAAATAGAGAGGAACAATATACTTCATAAAAAAATGTAAAGACCTAATTTCTTGACGGTTAAGAGATACAGACCAGGAAGTCTTTGTCTTAGGAGGGTGTTATTTGGAAAAAGATGGGCATTCTAAACTTTTTGATTTTGCTTTCTATATAGATTCTTCTGTCACTGCTGTTACCACGCCAGACTCGTCTAAGAAAAGAGATTCAAGATGCCTTGGACATAGACCTTCTCACACAAGAAGCAGAGCACGGGGCCCTGGATGTCCCTCACCTGTCTGACTACATTCTCAGTTTGATGAGCATGCTGTGTGCACCAGTGAGAGATGAGGCTGTGCAGAATCTAGAAAGCATAACAGATCCTGTGCAGTTGCTGAGGTGAGAAACTAGATGATCTGTCCCTGGAATTTGCCTTAAAACACCAAGCCAGGAAACTCCGAGTCAGATTCTGTGTTAGCTGCTATCTTAACTAGTTCTTCTGTACTGAAGAACAGACTACTATGTCTTTTTTCCTTCCTGGATGATTGGCTTTTATTCTCCAGGGACAGAGTCTCAGAACCACTTTGATGATATTTAGATCTTTTGGGAGCCATTGTAGACATGGTGTTGCTAAGAATTAGAGTACAGCATTTTTAAAAAAGATTTATTTATTTATGCATACAGAGCTGGGCTACAGGCCAGAGATGCAGGGGCGGTGAGAGGATTCACCAGAGACAGAGTGGGGAGCAGAACAGGCAGATCGACGAAGTACACTGCTGAGGGGAGCAGTGGGCGGATCAGGAGAGGTCTGCCATGCCATGTGGTTGCCTCCCGAGGCAGGGATCAAACTCATGCTGAAGTGGCTTTAGCTTCTCAGTGCTGTGCTTTAAACTGCTGCGCCAGAGGGAGGGCCATAGAGTACAGCATTTTTTCTTCTAGGTATTTCAAACAGCCCTTTCTCAGTTCTCCTTAATTTGAACCCTGTGAAGAGACAAGAATGAAGTTTATAACTATTTCACAGCCAGAAGAACAAAATCCCAGAAAGGTTAAATGATTTACCCAGTGAGTAAGATATTTGACTACCACCATTCCAATTACTCAGATGTGGTTGTTAAAACTCTGGTCATTTTTCTTTCACTGACTGCTCTTTTTCTGGGAATATGGAATGGCTAAACTGTAAGACCCCTAGACTGTTAGCTGTAAGATAAGGAAACATGTATATCCCTGGCTCTGCCAACAACTTACTCTGTGGTCTTGGATCTCTGGCAGTGATGTCTTTATTTGTAAATTTAAATGTGAGGTTTGTTTGTTTGTTTGAGATCCCTTTTAACTCTAAAACACTGTGTTTTTAAGACTCCCCACTTGTTTCATCTCCATGCTATATTTCCCCTCATAGCATAAATATTTGATTTCTCCCTATGACAGAGGTATCTTCCGTGTTCTGGGCCTGATGAGAATGGACATGGTGAACTATACAATCCAGAGCCTTCGACCCTATCTCCAAGAAAATTCCATCCATTATGAAAGAGCTAAATTTCAGGAGCTCCTTGACAAGCAGCCTAGTATGTTTAAGATCTAAGGGCAGGAAAGGGAAATTTGACCTTGGTTTGACTTCTTAGAGTAATAGAGTATGTTCTATTTTTTAAAAAAAGATTTATTTATTTATGTATACAGAACTGGGGTACATGCCAGAGGTGCAGGGGCGGTGAGAGGGTTCACCAGAGACAGAGTGGGGTGCAGAACAGACTGACTGACGAAGTACACTGCGGAGGGGAGCAGCGGGCAGGTCAGGAGAGGTCTGCAGCACCATGTGGGTCACCTCTGGGGCAGGGATCGAACTCATGCTAAAGTGGCTTTAAGATTCTTAGTGCTGTGGTTTAAGCCGCTACGCTATCGAGGTGGGGGGGGCTGTATTTTCTACTATTTAATAGATAGTTTCTTTCTGAGATAAGAGGTGGGGGAAAAGGGTATTTCTCTATGATAATAACCTGCAAAATCATTTCTTTATTGACTTAAAGTTTATCTTCAAACCTTGAAATCTGAAGAGATTCACATTTTTCCCCCTTGTATGTTACAGATCTTCTTGATTGCACTATTAAATGGCTAACCAAAGCAGCAGCAGACCTCACTGCAAAATCTCTGAGTTCTCTGGACTCTCTCACTTTCAACATGACCTGTTCGCATCCATGTCAGGAGGCTCACAGCTCAGAGTGTCTTACTCCCACAATGATACTATACCAAGGTTACCTAAACATTCTTGTCTGTGACTCTAAAAATGAAGAGTTCCCTGAGGTAGGAATATGTGTTGAAACACTTCCTTTCTGTCTGTATTCAATGCCTCCTTTGTAGCTTCCCTCTTATAGTTCCACTCTTCCCCACCTTACCAGACACTGATGATGGACAAAATACGGCTGCAGGAAATGGAGTCTCAATTGCATCAGTTAGCCATCTTGGCCTCAGTCTTGTTAGTGGCCAGAAGTTTCTCTGGTAATGCTTTATTCAGCTCCCCTGAATTTGTCCATAAAATGAAATGCATAACCAAGACCCTAACAGAGGAATTTAACTCCAGGTAAATTTCATAGATCTTTCCTAGACATGAACATATTATGTAGTGTTTTTGTGTGTATGTGTGTGGGAAGAGGTATATAGACAATTCATATATTAGTGCTTATTCTTTATCACAGGCAACAAAAGACCTTGGGAACCATTTGCAAAGATTGTTGATGTTTTGATAAATTGTACTGAGGCTTGGATAGAGCAAAATAAAACTTCCAAAGGGCAGAATGTGGAGGCTGGTTTGCTACAAATAATTCATTATCATGTTGCCAAAAATAAATCATTATATACTCAACTGGTGAACACTGTATTTGTGTGTATATTTTAATACATATTTCCAGAAGTTCACCAGTTGATCAACGATATTGATTGATTGTTCACTGCATGCAGGATACCACAACTTAAGTAAAAAGAGGAGCTAGAAAGTCAGTTCTTAAAATATATGTGGAATTAAATAGGAAAACAACCATGAAGAATAGTCAAACATATCTTAAAACAATAAGTAAAGTTTTGGAGGCTAAAGAATACTGAAGAGATCCAAATTTGAAACCAAGCCCTTGGTCAATTTACCTTGTTTTCTTTGAAATGGAATATAGGACTATATGCATCAATTAGATAGCAGTTTGAGGGTAGCAATGAAGGTAGTTCAGCTGCTTACTAGGTCCTCTTATCAGGTGGAAGCTAGAATTTCTGTTGAGTAAACCTGGATTCTGGTGTGGCACTCCGGATTTTGCCCCTATGCCAGGGTCACTCTTTCCTACCTTTCATTATCTAGGCCTGATGAAGTTATGCTGAATGTGAGTGAAAAAGTGTCTCAGGAAATCCATGATGGCCTCAGAAGCATGGGCCTCAAAGTTCTGAGCAATGAAAACAAAGCATCTCTTATAGGACAACTCCAGAACATTGCCAAGAAAGACAACTGTGTTCGTAAAGTCATTGGTAAGGGTCTCCATGGTGGTTGGAAAGTTCAAGAAAGTGTAAGAGGCATAATTAGATCCACCCCTGTAAGTCAGTTACCAGATTATTTGAAAATGGAAATGCATGAACATTGGGAACATTTCTTCACCTATAATGCGTGGGATTGAAATGAATCACTTTCATTCTGAAGAGTGGATGTATGGTGTTATGGATCTGCAGTTAAGATGTCACTTATATGCGTAAGAAACCATCTCACTAATCCTACTAGGCCGTCTGGTCATTAGTTAATAACTGTCCAAACTGCACAGAGGGCAGTGTTGTCCATCCCATATGGACCCCTGGACTCCTCCAGGACTGATGCTGACTTACTCTGTAGGATTCTGTGGTGGGATGGAAGCAAGGAATTTGGCCAGCTTGCCCCTAACTTTTGTACTTTTAACATACTTTGGTTTGGGTGGACCTGAATTTGGTATACTACAGTGTGTGCACTCAGAATTTCAGGTATGGTATTTAGCATCCTTTTGTTAGGTCAAATAAATCCCAAGATCTCACTTAGAGCAATGTAATCTTAAGAACAGCTAGAACTTTACTAGCTCATCATCTTTTGATCATTCTTTGGGAGGTTGATAACTCTCCCTTCTCCCAAACAAAAACAAATCTTATTTTCATGTTTTCCTTGAATAGGTTAGTCAGTGAATATCTCCTTTAACTTAAAACTTTAGTGAAAAGAGAGTACAAGGAGACCGTGGCTTTCTTCTGAAGTTTTTGATTTTCCCTTTGTCTTTTTTTTTTTTTTTTGCTTACTTATAGATCGACGAATTCGTTTGTTCCTCAAATGCTGTTTAGTTCGCAGCATGCAGGAGTCTCTACTAGACTTCCCCAGAGGCTTAATTCTCATTGAAGGGGAGCTGACAGAGCTAGGTTGGAAGTTTGTCAATCTGATGCATCACAATCAACAGGTATTTAGCCCCTACTATGAAGACATCCTGGAAAATATCATCAATCCAGCTGAAGCATGTAAAAAAGAAGCAAAATCTACTTAATAGTGCTGGATCCCAGTTATGGAAACAGGGAACCAGGGGAAAGGGCCAAGCATGTTCATGGGAAGGCAACACCTGAGGCCAGCGAGCATCCTGTCCTCTTCCTCTTGACAGCCAGGAACCAGCACACACAACTACAAGGTCCAAGCACTCACTCCAGCTGGCCAAACCCCCTTCATTAATTAAATGTTTGAGCTGCAAGAAAACCTTGTTTTCTTTTGTGTTGCAACTAAATCCAGATCTTATGCCCTGATCCCTGCACTAGCTGAGAAACCAGTGGGCCCTTGGTTTTCCCTTCATTGGGGGGATCATTCTTCAGTCTCCTGCATCAGGGGCCAGCATTTTCTCCAATAGAAAGTCATTTTCTTGGGGAAATAAGCAAACTGCTTCTGAAATTATGCAGAATGTTAGTGTAATTGTTTCTGGAAGTCAAATTCACTTCAAGAGGATGCATAGATCCCTTTTTCCAGCACCACATTTTCCTCTAATTTTAAAGGATGCAGTAGTAAGAGCTCCCACTTCCTATTCAGGTGCATGGCTTGAAGCAGTATGGAAGTTGAGAACTGGGTGAAAGTTGGTTGCTAGCAAGCATTCATTTCTCTTTCTCTCCCTCGCTTATGTCACCCTCACGACAACCACAAAGCAAAAACCTATAGCAAACACACAAAAGATCAAGGGAAGGTAATATGAACACACTACTTAAGGAAGTCATCAAACCACAAAGGAAGAGGGCAATGAAAAAAGAGAGGAAGTGAAAACTTGCAGAACTTAACCATTTTTTTTCTGCCTGAGGGAATCTACAGTAGATGCTCTCTTTTATATTTTCTAGTTCATTCATTGTTTTCTTGAGTTCCAGAATTTCTTTGTGGTACTTTTTAAAGCTTTCTTTTTCCTCCTTGACCTTTGTTTCCTACCTTCATTTGAGTTGTTTATCTGTGTTGTTTCGAAGCTGGCCAAGAATCCTTAAAACAGTTATTTTGAAGGCAGTTCTTCACCTTTCATTTCTAGGATGTCAGCTACTGGAAAATAATTTCTTTAATTCATGGTTTTGAGAGTTACTGTGTCCCTCCAAGTTTAAGGACATAATCACTTCCTCCAACTTTCACTGATTTTTCCAAGAGAGAGACACCTTCCCAGATCAGCCAAACTGGGGGCTCTGGAGGTCCCAGAGACTTTTCCATGGGTCATCCTGCTGCACTTATCCATTTCCTCTTCGAAGGAAGTGTTAGAATTGTATGCCTTCCTTCTTTTGCACAAAGCCATAACTTGGCCTGAGAGCCTCCAGTCTTTTTTCCCTAGGGCAGTACCCTGAGGTAGTCAAGGCCCCAGCCTTTTCCCAGTGCAGGGTTGAGCTGGCTCTCTTGAGGTGCTAATGCATGGCCTCCAGAGGCGCCAGTGGACGGTCCACAGGGGCCCACCTGGGGCATTAGCTGTGGGGGTGGGGCGTGCACAGTTCTGGGGCCAGTCACAGGCTAGTGTGGTTCCAGAGCCTTGCATCCACCATGGCTTGTGAGTGAGCCTCTTGGTAGAACCCACAAAGGGGGTAGTAACAACTGGGGCCATTTGCTGAGTTTCAAGTTTCATTTGCTGTGAGCCCTTGCAAGATACCCTGCTCCTTGCTGTCCCCAGATAATTCAGCCATGCCACTCTCCCCAGTGTTCTTGGTGGAGCAAGAAGGAAATGGGCTTTTGGGGAGCATCCTGCACAGCTCAGGGAAGCTAGGTGCTCACCACACACTCCCTTTCCATCATGGGGTAAATAGAAGTTTAAGCAGGGGCTCTCTTGGCATTGAGCGATGTAGTCTTGCAAGAGAGGTGACCTTAGCAAGTAAAATTGTTCTTTATACCCTCTTTGATGTGTCTGCTCTTGATTTTTTTCCCCAAGAGAGTAGTGCAACTTCTCCACTGAATACCCGAGCTGCCACAAAGGTCCTCCTCCTGTCTGTGATTGTCAAAGTCAGCCTTTATTTAAGTACTGAAAGCTTCTGCCATCTTGTGATGTCACATCATATTCTAGATGGATTATTTGAGCAGTAAAATGTTTGAGTGCCAACAAGAGGCAATCTGGAATAATGTTAATTCAAGAAATGTAAAAACGGATGAGCCACAGCAATTTATTTTTAATATTTTTTTGCATAGAGGTTTTTTTTTCCTCTGAAAAGTACTGGAAAATCATGCCCTCATAACTGACACAGATCAGTATGATACAGCAAATGGGCTCGCAGATAAGCATTTGTGGATTTGCTTTCTTTGACAAATTTATGACAGAATTGGTTTTCCCAGAGCTCTTAATTGATTGTGAGTTTGTTCTCCTTGCAGTTCCTCTTCCTTGACAGGTTTAGGTCAAGGAAAGGAATCCCAAAAAAGCAAATGATGGGAAAGCTTGCTGAAACATCCCCAAAGAGTGAGCCTATTACCTACATCTGAATTTTACATTGTGAGGGGCTTTGTTGGTACATTGAGCACTTTGTCAACTGTCTCTCTTTCCTAAATTGCTTAGCACTCATAATAAAGTTACTTCCAGATAAGTTAGTGAATTTCACAAAGGAACAACAAAAAGCATGCTTTGAATGTGATTTTCACAACAATGCAGACCAATCTGATGCTATCCCTTTCTACTGTTGCTAAGTGAGTAAATTTTGTTTTCTGAAAGTAAACTCCCAGGAGATATCTAGATTCGTTTAACACATTTGCATTTGATCTCAAAGCATTTAACTTGGCAGAAAAGCTACCCTGTTGTACCCATTTTCCATTTCTCTGTGTTAGATAAGCCACTCTTTGGGGACTAACACATTCATCCAAAGATGCCGAACAGAACCTAAAACCAGAAAAGAGAAAAATTCTTTTCATTACATTATGAAGTCACACGCAAGATAAATGACTTAGCATCCTGCCATACCTAAATAAACACAGCACCTGATAAATGTAGTTCCAGCCGGGACTGCAGACATATGTCATTCATCGGTGTCACCTCTGCCACAAGGTATTAAACAATGCTCACTGCTTCCCATGGAAGTAAGGAAATGATTTTTAAGAGAACTTGAGAAACTTCTGATAATCATCTCAGAGAAAGATTGACTTGAGTGTCTAGTCTGATGGAGCTAAACCTGACATAAAAAAGAGTCATTGTTACCATCCCTAGATTTGCCTTTTGGTGCAAGAAGCTGAACAAAGGTGGGGTAGATGAAGTTCTCTGGCATCTTTGATTGTTTATGTCCATCCATATGTAATTGTGGGAACTGGGAGTTCCTAGTTTAATCCCCAGTTGTATTGGTTAATGCCCAAAATAACCTAACCTACTGACCTGCCCACATGTTGTCTATATTTTTCACTCCAAGCATCACACTTCCTTTAATAAGGCAAGAATCCCACACAAATCTCTAGTCCTCCTTCCATACTTCAAATTGAAGCACAAAAGAAAAGGCAGTTGATTTATGCATTCATGCCACGTTGCCGACATTTAGCCCACTGATTCCAGCACTTAGATGGTATTGCTTGCCTAGGCCAACAATTCAGAAAGATGACATCACTTTCATTTCAGATGAAGCTGCATTTTCTTACACCAATCAGATATTCCTGAAATCACCATTTAAAATTCCGACAACATGTTCTGTCACATAATCTTTCTCTACCAATTCTAGGGAGGGACAAAATGTCACAATCTAAAGAATTCTGATTCCATGTATGTATAATGCTTGTAATTCCCCAAGAGAGCAGGTAAAATTTTTTACTTTAGGATAATTCACTTCTTTAATTTCATTTAAAAGAAGGGAATGCTTTCGTAACGTCAAGCATCTTATATGTGCCTCTAATAAACAACTGTCTGATTACTACAAGGATCATAGGGGGTCATGGACCTTAATTACGGTCACTAATTTGACACAGCTTTGGTTTTAACTACTGATAGCACTTGAGATTTTTAGAGGCATTTCAAGGAACTCTTTCCATCAGCTCAACTGTTCAGGACCTGGACATGGTTTTCCTGATTTTGTGTGTCAGTAGACTGAACTAACCTTATATTCCCATGAGGAACCTGGAAAAAGACCAAAATACGAAACCTAAAGCCAGATGTCTGTGGGAAATCTACATCTATGAAGATCTATAACTGAATTCTTAGGTGGCTGATGTGATAAGTACCTTACAACTTCCATTTCCTCATCTATAATGTCCCGTAATAGTGCTGACACCATAGAGTTCATTGTCTCTCTTCAAGTGATGTCCTTTGAAAGCACAGGGCACATAGTGATCATTGAAGCATAAGTTTTTTTCAAACCAAACAACACTGAAATCAAAGAGAAGTGCTTTGATTTCCTTTTGATGTTCATGAAACTAAGTGAACAACACTAGTACCTACTGCTGAGGCTCTTACAGGATTCCCCATCGGTGTCATTTTAAAGAAGAATGCATCTCACTGTTTTGTGTGTCATGTGCTATGTATTAACATTCATGCGTTATATGGGGAAATGGACATGGAATGAGCACATTGGGTAAAGCTCAACCCCGTGTGCTGTGTAGCATCGTAGGAGGGACCAACACCTCAGAGAAGGCGAGGAGTGCGCACAATCTCAGACCCCGGTCTCTCGGGGTTCATGTGCTGCTGAACCACCAAGGCCAAGACATCCCAAAGGATGGGGGGTTTGGCGAGGTCACACGACCAGCTGCGGGCACTGGAGACCCACCCTTTGGGTGCCCGCAGGGTCTCCGGAGTCGCAGCAGCCCGGCTTAGCCCGCTCAGCCATTACCCCGTCTCTGGCCCGGGATGTGGGGAAAGACTCTTGGAACTGCAGCCCCCGCCCCCGTCAGGTGGACTTCTGCTGAGGCTGTGGCCCAGGTGCCACCCTGTCCACCAGAGAACTAGACGCTCAGGGGCAACCAAACAGCCTCAGGCCCAGGCCGGCCAAGAGCTGGGCCGTGTTTCATTAAAGCCTTGTGAACGTGGGCGTGGGTTCATTCATTTTCAAGAGTCGGGAAATGTCATTCTTTTGATTTTCCTACGGTTCAGGT